GCCTTACAAAATATTTCTTTATATTTATTTGAAATGCAAAATTGTTATAGAGATTCAGAGAAGGAGAGAGGTCGATCTTCTATCTACTGGCTCACTCGCCAAATTGTTGCAACAGCCAGCACTGGGCCCATCCCATACCAGGAGCCAGGAGGCAGGAGCATCTTCTGGGTCTCCCACATGGGTGCAGGGTTCCCAGTACTTGGACCATTCTCCACTGCTTTCCCAGACCACAAGCAGGGAGGGAGCTGGATCTAATGGGGAACATCCAGGACTCAACCAATGCTTTCTAGGAGGTGGTAACGCAGGTGCAGCTGAGCCTGCTCCATCACAGGCAGGGAACCTCAGCATACCCTCCTCGCTAAAGTCCTCGGAAGTCCATGCAAACCAAGTCCTCACTCTGTCCCACTGTGATGCCTTCGCAGCTCTGGGTCCTCTGCCATTGTCAGGCAAGCAGGAGTCAGAATGTGAACAAAATGCATGAACGAGGCCAACAGGGTCACACAGGAAAAGAGAAAATCTATGGCTAAGGACCTGGGAGATACCGGCCTGGTCAGGGAATGCTGGGCAAAGCTGAAACTAGAGAGGAGAGCCCGGCAGTGATGGGTATCCTGTGTGAGCCATGGAGGCAGGAAGGACGTGGACACAGCTAGGGAGGGGTCCAGGCACCAGCTGTGAGGACCAGGCTGTGCGTCCTTCAAGGGCCCAGGGTGTGGGAGAATCCATCACTGTGGCTCTGTCAGCCTGCCACCCTCCCCAAGCCGGGTCACCATGGACACATTCTCTACTGAACATCCACGGGGTCATGCGGACACCACAGCCTGCGTGCAAACATGCCCAGATGTCCTTGAGGTCTACAAGGATCCGCAGGGGCCTTCAAGAGTAACATCTGTTCCCGGGCGGTCCTGTGTCTTCCATGTGGAGATGCCCTTGGTCGTGTTTCACAGTCGCAGCTCCAGGTGGAGGGAGCAGCCAGGCTCGCAATTCGCAGTGCATCCGGGTCTCGGGGATGGGTCATTTCTGGCCTCCCCTGTCCTTCCATGGTCAACAAGCAAGCTCTCAGGTGTGGGGGACCTGAAGCATGCAGCCCAGTCACATGTTGGAGCAGGTGGTGGGGAGGGATGAGAAGGGCAGCAGGTGAAGCTGGGATGGGGCAGGACGTGCCAGGCTTGGTGGATTAAGGACAGGGAAGGAGGCAGGCAGGAAAGAGAAGCAGAGAGCTGCCTCCAGGGAGAGGCTAGCGTGACATGGCCGCAGCTGTGGCTCTGGGTGCCCCGTGCTCATCTCGGTGTCGAGGCGTGAAGCTGGGGGCCTCCGCACCTACAGGGCCAGCACAAGCCTCAGGTCAGAGTGGATTCAGGGGCTCCCAGGCCAGGCAGTGCCGGGCAGCTGAGCCCCTGGAGCTTACCTGGTGTAGTAGAGCCACGTGAGGCCATAGGTGAGAAGGAAGCCGGCTGCCATGAGGGACCCTCTGATCAGGGTGAGCACCAGGGGCCAGGAGTGCAGGGAGCCTTCTGGCATGGGTGGGCACAGGCTGAGATTCCAGTCTAGGCCTTAGCCTCCCCCATCCTCTCTCCCCTGCAGCATACACTGCTCACTCTCACTCAGGGATTCTAGGTTGTGGGAGGGTCACTCAGGTTCCTGACCTGGTGGTGGTGGCAGCAGCAACACCTGCACGCTATGGCCCTCGTGGACGTTCCAAACTTCACAGCTGAGCCTGAGGCTAGAGCTGAGCTCCCCGCGGAGGCTCAGGGAGCTGTTGGCCCAGCGCCCTGCAGAGCTGGAGGTGACCATGAAGGAGGCAACGCTGCTGTTCCCGCTGCTGTTCCCCTCCAGCAGCTGCTCCTCAAGCCGCCAGCGCAGGAACGGGGCCAGCTGGGCCTGGGAGGAGCATTTGCAGTGCAGACCCTGGGCCTCCCAGGAGCAGAAGGGACCCAGCAGCTGTAGAGGGGCTAGGAAGAGAGCAGGTAAGACTCAGCAGGGGCCCTCTCTCCTGCTCATTATTGCAGGGAAATGACCCTCTGCCCCTCCAGTCCCAGGCCCAAACTCACCCTGAACAGAGAGGTTCATGGAAAGGTGCTGGGAGCCCAGCGAGTTCTGGGCTATGCAGGTGACCTGCCCTCCGTGCTCTGGCTGCACCTGCGGCAGCTCCAGGATGTCGGTGAAGGAGACAGGGGTGGGCTGCAGGTCTGGGGGTCCCCGCACCCAGCTCAGGTTGGCAGGAGGGTTGCTGAGTGCTGAGCAGCGCAGGCGCAGAGCCCAGCCAACCGGGACGGTGAGGGATGAGCTGGTAAGCAGCATGCTGGGGGCTTGTGGGGAGAGACCTACTGAGGGTGGAGAGTCCGCCTCAGAGCTGGACTGGCACCCCTGTCCCTCCCTTGGCCAACACTCCTACTTCCCTCCCAGCCCTCCTGCCTTGTACCCCATGAACTTTGTCCCAAGGGTCTGGACTCCCCTCTCTTGGCAGGGAGCTGGTGGGGATCAAGGCTGGCCGGGGGGTGCGTCAGGATCTGTCCAATGCGTGCACAGCCCAGAGCCCTGATGATCTTGCAAGCAAGTTCATGAGGAATGATGCTAGGAAAGCAACCCACATGGATTCCAGATTTGTTTGTTTGTTTTGTTTTTGGGCCAGATACACTTAGTTGTAATCGCATTTAGCCATGGGTTTGGAAGTGCCCTGCTGGGTTCTGTCAGAGCAGTGGAGCCACTTCCTGGCCTCCTCCAACGCGTGGGCTGCTCTCCCCTGGGGCTGAGAGCCTTCCCTTGAGCATTGCCAGAACATGAGTCCTGATCCGCAGGAGAAGTGCAGCCAGAGGCAAGGTGTGCCGGCCTGAAGTGGAGGCGACGTGGCAGCTGTGATGGGAACTGGACAGGGAGGGTGAGGCTGGGCAGCATTCAATGTCTGCTCATGGCTTTAGGCACAGGATGCGTGTGCTGTGAGCACACATGTGTGTAAGAATGTTCAAGTCTGTGTGCATAGGCACGCACGGCACAAGTGTGTACTCATGTGTGTGCACAGGTCTGCATGGCTCGTGCTGTGAGCATACACCAGTGCTTGTGGAAGAAACACACACACACGCAATCACACGCACAGAGCTGTGGGGACAGAGTGTGGCTGCAGGCTCCATGTCCCAGTACCTGGAGCAGAGGTTTCCCTACCTGTGCTGTTTTGGAAGAAGATGCTGACGCTGAGGTTCTGAGGAGGATCTGGAAGGGAAGAAGGGCCCTGGCCTCAGGGGTGAGGAACAGCACGCACGTGGGCACCTGGGATACCTGAGGAAGCAGCCGTGTCCTTCTGACCCACCCCACGCCCGCACTCCCACGCTCAGATCCATGCAGACACTCCCTAGGTGACTGTAACAGGCACATGTACAAGATGAGCACACGGGCACACACCTGCACACACGTGTACAATCCCGTGCAGGCACACCGCCCCCACTGCCCCTGGGAGCACAGGCCTGCCCCCGCCCAGCACTCACAGGAGACATTGAGCTGCACGGTTCTCTCCGTGGTCACCTGACTGCCCGGGTACTGCACCCGACAGGTGAGGTTGGTGCCGTGGTCCTGGGGCCTCGGTGTGAGGAGCAACAAGGAGGACCATGCCCTCCAGGGAGTCTGAGAGTCAAGGGCACTGCCCTTCCAGGAGAAGCTGAGAGTTCTCCCAAGTGGGCAGTGTCCTGGCAGGCTGCAGTGCAACAGTGTGGTGTGGCCAGACTGCAGGGTTGCCGGGAGCTGGATGTGTGGCTTCTCTGAGAGGGCTGAGGACAGAGGCAGGAGGCTCAGGTCCAGGGTGTGGGGGATCCAGGGTCCATGGTGACCCTGAGAGTGACCAGGGCCTGTTCCCCATGCCCACGTCCCTGATATCCCACCTCCCTACTCACCACCTGCCCACTCTGTCCCCATCCTGACACACGGTGTCCATCACAGGCCCTGTCCCGTAGACAGAGTGTGGGCCCAAGAGGACCTTGGAAATTACCAGGGCCCCATGCCCATGCTCCCGATATCCCACAACTGTCCTTAACATCCGCATGCTCTGTCCCCATGCTAACACAGGGTGTCCATCCCAGGCCCTCTCCCAAGAACCCAGCCGCACCTGTCACCTCCACAGACAGTGTCTTCCACAAGTAGCTGTATTTGAGCTTGCTTCCCTTCTCCACTCGGAAGAAGTACCTCCCTGTGTCCTCCCTCCTGGCATCTGTGATGCTCAGGGAACAGTTGTTGGTGCTGAGGTCCCTGGGGACGTGGAACCGGCCCTTCGTCTCAGGCCTTACTGGCCAATCTGGCTTGTTGGTGGCCACAGGAGCTTGAGTGTAGACATTGTCCCCGTCTCGGAACCAGAAGAGAAAAGGCTCGGCAGGGCTTGTCAAATAAGTCCTGATCTCAGGGTAGGAGAAGGAGCAGGGCACGAGGACACACAGACCCTCCTGCACTGTCACCGACTTCTGCACCTGCAGCTTGTAGCCTGCTTCCTGCTGCAGGGACCCTGGACAGGGGCCGGGAAGAGGGGACACAGAGACTCAGTCACAGCGCTGCCCCACCACAGCCTCCCTGTCCCCCATTGCCCAGTGAGCCCCTTACCCTCCCGCAGCAGGGACAGTAGCAGCAGCAGCAGCGGCAGCATTGAGTCGGGGTTCTGGTCTCACTCTAGGCAAAGAAATGTCTCAAATGTGAGGTGTGGCCAAGTGAGAGCAACAAGAAGCGGCTGGGTGAGTGTGGGCCTGGGCCATGCCAAAGGGGAACTTGGGTGCTGCATGGGCCTGGGCAGCTTGTTGGGGGCAGGGAGATGGTATTCCTGCTGTCCCCAGCAGACATGGCAGAGACAGAGTGTGGGTGGTGCAAGTGTGGATGGAGGGTCTAGAGGCCTGGAGCTTCTCCTCGGGTAGAGCTGCTGAGTCACGTTCAGATACACATGCAGCAGCCAGGGCGTGTGCAGACAGAATGGGACAGAGAAACGGGGAGCAGGCTAGCGACGTGCAGGGGAGGGGCAGCTGCAAGCACCTTCCAATATACCCATCTGAACCCCGGAACTTGGAGCTGCCTTAGAAATGCAGGCTAGAGGGAGCTGGATGAGGGGAGTGTGGGCCCTGCAAGAGGATCTACCTGCCTTGGTCTTGGGGTTTTTATGTAGGTCCGCTGAGACAGCCATGTGCCAAGTCCACTTGGGCTGGGCTGTTTCAAGGGAGAAAGTGACCCCTCCCACTGGGGTTTCCCTGAAGGCTGCAGAAGCCACATGGTCCCTGTGGAGCTCAGCATCGGTGGAACCAACATAATGGAGTCCCCAGCAATCGGTGCAAAAACCTGGGCTCTGCAGCACCCCACCTCTGATTTAACCAGGAACATGCCAACAGTCAGAGCTTCGTGACAACAGGTTCTAGAAGCAGGGCCTTCAGAAACTAGGACAAAGTGCAATCCTGGTCAACAGTGCTCACAGACGCTGGCTTGGCTGTGTCCTCTGTCTACAGAAATCAGCTACAATTACTCTCGTGGGAGAGGCTCATGCGAGAATACCAACCCAGCATCTGGAGGAGGGCATGCGGATGGAGTGGGCAGGCAGGCTGTACCCAGTCTAAAGGCAGCGTGTCATTGTCCCGTGTCATCTTCTGCCTGCTCACTTAGCAGTGTGGTGAGTCCTGCGACTTGCTGCCATGTGCCTTTGCTTCCAAGAAAAGGGCCCGTGTGCAAAGATGAGTGTGCCCTCGGCCGGACTGTAGGCAGAATTCTCTCCTGAGCTCTGTCTGTCCTGCTCCACCCAGGGCTGTTCAGCAGGAGTCTGACGTTGGTAGAGTGAACACTCCGGGTCTACCTGCTGTGTGCTGAAGAGCTTTCCCACATACACTGCGCCACAGTCTTTGGCTGTCAGTCCCTCCACTCTTTGCCGTGTTCAGAGTAGAGTCCTCTTCTCCCTGCCTCTATTGCCCATGCACGCACACTGTGTTGGGAGGGAGAGAAGAGAGCTAGAAGCAGCCAGAAACCGCCAGACGTGGGCAGACGGAAGAGATGTCTCCATCACCTCCTCCAGGGAAGCCACACCCCAGGGGCAGCTGCCAGCCAGGCTCCTGCTTCCCAAGGGCACAAGCCTCCTTTGAGCAACAGGGAACACTCCAGAGTGACCAACAGCCAGGGCTAAGAGGAGACCCTCTTCACTGGCAACATAGTTACGGAGTTGATCTTAGAGACAGGAGTATGTGTGTTTGCTGAAACATGTAACATGATTGCTTCAACATTGTATCTCTTGTTGTATGTGTGCTGCATCTGTGGGTGCACAGCAGCAGGAAGCTGCAAGCTCCAGTGCAGCCCTGCCTTGAACCCAGGAAGGGATGGGCGCATGTCAAACGCAGGATCAGGCAAACACACAGCCTCCTTCCTGGAATGAGAGTCACGGGACATGCAGTGAGCAGCGGGGATGTCGGCTGGAGAGCTGCTCTGGGTACGGATGACGTGGTGACGTACTGCTGATTCCTCTGTCACCTGAGACGGGGACGACTCAACTACCCACCCAACATCCTGGGGTCTACTCGCCTAGCACACCCAACACCCCGGAGTCTGGGTGGTTTACGCCTGTGCTCAGGCAGGCACCCAACCAGCAGCTGGCTCCACGGCACAGCTGAGCATCCTGAGAAAAGACAGAAGTTCCGAGTTGGAAAGCTGCACCCACAGGCTGTGGCTTTCACGCCATGCTGCAGCAGAAACATCCAGGACTAAACTAGTGTAAGTCAGGATCCTCGTGTCAGCAGGATGAGGTGAAGAGGAAAGTGAGAGGGAGCTGGGTCCTAAAGTGACATGAACCGTGAGGTTCCCCTCGGGGAGGAGTCAGTGCCAAGAGTCCTTTGCTCAGTGCACTGAGTGAAGGCAGGTGGAGTTGGTTTCTGGGCCGTGACACCGTGGGAAGGAGGTGACAGAGCCAGAGAGAGGCTTGGTGCGATGGGACAGGACGGGAGTTTGTACCAGATGGCGTTGCCAGTCATGCTAACTGACATCCAATTCCACTGTGTCCAAACTTCCAGCCAGGACAGCTGCAGAAAACATACTTGCTTCACAAAATATATCTTTATATTGATTTGAAATGCAGAATTGTTATAGAGATGCAGAGAGAGAGAGAGAGGGAGAGATGGATCTCCTTCCACCTGCTAACTCCTCAAATTGTTGCAACAGTCAGCATTGGGCCCATCCCATACCAGGAGCCAGGAGCCAGGAGCATCTTCTGGGTCTCCCACATGGGTGCAGGGTTCCCAGTACTTGGACCATTCTCCACTGCTTTCCCAGACCACAAGCAGGGAGGGAGCTGGATCTAATGGGGAACATCCAGGACTCAACCAATGCTTTCTAGGAGGTGGTAACGCAGGTGCAGCTGAGCCTGCTCCATCACAGGCAGGGAACCTCAGCATACCCTCCTCGCTAAAGTCCTTGGAAGTCCATGAAACCCGAGTCCTCACTCTGTCCCACTGTGATGCCTTCGCAGCTCTGGGTCCTCTGCCATTGTCAGGCACGCAGGAGTCAGAATGTGAACAAAATGCACGAACGAGGCCAACAGGGTCACACAGGAAAAGAGAAAATCTATGGCTAAGGACTTGGGAGATATCGGCCTGGTCAGGGAATGCTGGGCAAAGCTGAAACTAGAGAGGAGAGCCCGGCAGTGATGGGTATCCTGTGTGAGCCATGGAGGCAGGAAGGACGTGGACACAGCTAGGGAGGGGTCCAGGCACCAGCTGTGAGGACCAGGCTGTGCGTCCATCAAGGGCCCAGGGTGTGGGAGAATCCATCACTGTGGCTCTGTCAGCCTGCCACCCTCCCCAAGCCGGGTCACCATGGACACATTCTCTACTGAACATCCACGGGGTCATGCGGACACCACAGCCTGCGTGCAAACATGCCCAGATGTCCTTGAGGTCTACAAGGATCCGCAGGGGCCTTCAAGAGTAACATCTGTTCCCGGGCGGTCCTGTGTCTTCCATGTGGAGATGCCCTTGGTCGTGTTTTACAGTCGCAGCTCCAGGTGGAGGGAGCAGCCAGGCTTGCAATGCGCAGTGCATCCGGGTCTCGGGGATGGGTCATTTCTGGCCTCCCCTGTCCTTCCATGGTCAACAAGGCAAACTCTCAGGTGTGGGGGACCTGAAGCATGCAGCCCAGTCACATGTTGGAGCAGGTGGTGGGGAGGGATGAGAAGGGCAGCAGGTGAAGCTGGGATGGGGCAGGACGTGCCGGGCTTGGTGGATTAAGGACAGGGAAGCAGGCAGGAAAGAGTCGCAGAGAGCTGCCTCCAGGGAGAGGCTAGCATGACATGGCCGCGGCTTGGGTCTGGTTCCCCCGTGCTCATCTTGGTGTCGAGGCGTGAAGCTGGGGGCCTCCGCACCTACAGGGCCAGCACAAGCCTCAGGTCAGAGTGGATTCAGGGGCTCCCAGGCCAGGCAGTGCCAGCAGCTGAGCCCCTGGAGCTTACCTGGTGTAGTAGAGCCACGTGAGGCCATAGGTGAGAAGGAAGCCGGCTGCCATGAGGGACCCTCTGATCAGGGTGAGCACCAGGGGCCAGGAGCTCTCCTGTCTCTCACATACGCACGTGCAGCCAGAGGAAGCTCCTGGCACGGGTGGGCACAGGGTGAGGTTCCAGCCTCAGGCCTCAGCCTCCCCCATCCCCACTCCTCTGCAACACATACCTGCCCCGACACTCACTCTGCACAGAGAGGCTCAAGGAGAAATGGCTGGAGCCCAGCAGGTGCCGAGCCCAGCAGGTGAGTTCTCCTTGGTCTTTGGCCTGCACCTCGGGCAGCTCCAGGACTCCGGATTCTGACGCACGGGAGGAAGGCAGGGCTTCGTGCCCCCTGAACCAGCCCATCGAGGCAGTGGGGCTGCCATCAGCCATGCAGACCAGGCGCAGGGACAGACCCTCAGAGACAGGCAGGCACGTGCCATTGCTCAGTGCCTGTGGGACTGTGCGAGGGAAGGTGAGAGAGTGGGCTGTGGAAATGACCCATGTGTCTGCACTTGGGCCCTGACACTCAGCCAGCCACTCATTGATGGGGAAGCCCATGGGACTGCCTGTGGGATGGTGACAGGAGAGAGTAGGTCTCCTTGACATGGGGAAGGGGAGCTGAGCCAAGGCTAGGATGACAGGGTGTCCTCACGTCCAGTGGAGGGGGGTCTGCAGCTGGGGATGTGCTGGGAGCCGAGACCACCAAGCCAGAGGCAACAACACAGCTGTAGCTGAGCTGGGAGGGGAGGACCAGGGACTCTTGTGATGCAACAATAGGGACCAGGGGACAAGCACACTGTCAGGGCCTCACGTGCCAGGCTGGGAGTCCTGGGAAGCACTCAGTGTGAGGAGTCAGAGGGCACAGGCTTGGCACTGACTGGCACCTGAGCCTGAGCATGTGAGGTGGGAGGCAGGTCATAGCAGAGGTGGTTCCAGGGCAGACAATGGGGCCCCCACCCCATTGATGATGGAGAGGGAGAGGGGGAAGGGAGGAGCAGCTGAGTCCTTGGGACCCGCTGAGTCTTGGATGTGCCTGTGTGAGTGGGAGCCCTTTGGAGCAGTGAGGTCCTGGGCACCCTGGGCTCATGGGGTGCAGGGGGGTGACAGAGGGGCTGGCAATGGTCGCAGCAGCCATGCAGCCAGGGCTATCAGGAAGGGACAGCAAAGCCCAGGAGGGAAGAGCAGGAAGCTAGAACTGAGGGTTAGGATGGAGCAGTGGGCAATGGGCACTCGGAGGACTCCTAGGGGAGGCGATGACCTCAGCATGGAAGGAAGGCAGGGCCGGCCAAGAGAGCGGGGCCTGGAGGAGTGATTACAGAGACAGGTGGACATCAGCTGGGGAAGGCGGAGACAGGGAGGGGTGGCAGCTGGTTGCTGGGGCTATGCTCCAGCTTTGCCTGAAGGAGAGAGCAGCTGCCCACAGCACCTGCTGACCTGCACGCTGCAAGATCAAGAGGATAAACTCACCCCACATCGAGAGATTCCTCACATAGAGAGAAGATAAGGGAATGTGTGAGCAGCGGGAGGGAGGAGACCCCGCTCCCCCAAGTGTGTCTGCCCACCAAGCACTGTGCAGAGCAGTCTTCGCGGCAGAGTCAGCCCCCACGGTGTCTGTGCAACGAGGGCTGTTCTTTCACCAGGCTCCACGTCCCAGTCCCTGGAGCAGAGGTTTCCCTACCTGTGCTGTTTTGGAAGAAGACGCTGACGCTGAGGTTCTGAGGAGGATCTGGAAGGGAAGAAGGGGCCCTGGCCTCAGGGGTGAGGAGCAGCACGCACGTGGGCACCTGATATACCCGCGAAGCAGCCGTGTCCTTCTGACCCACCCCACGCCCGCACTCCCACGCTCAGATCCACGCAGACACTCCCTAGGTGACTGTAACAGGCACATGTACAAGATGAGCACACGGGCACACACCTGCACACACGTGTACAATCCCGTGCAGGCACACCGCCCCCACTGCCCCTGGGAGCACAGGCCTGCCCCCGCCCAGCACTCACAGGAGACATTGAGCTGCACGGTTCTCTCCGTGGTCACCTGACTGCCGAGGTACTGCACCCGACAGGTGAGGTTGGTGCCGTGGTCCTGGGGCCTCGGTGTGAGGACCAGGGATGACTGGAACTTCCAGGGAGTCTGAGAGTCAAGGGCACTGCCCTTCCAGGAGAAGCGGAGAGCTCTCCCCTGTGGGCAGTGTCCTGGCAGGCTGCAGTGCAGCTGTGAGTTGTGGCCAGAGTGCAGGGTTGCCGGGAGCTGGATGTGGGGCTTCTCTGTGAGGGCTGAAGACAGAGGCAGGAGGCTCAGGACCAGGTGTGGGGGACCCAGGGTCCATGGAGACCCTTAGAGTGACCAGGGCCCCATGCCCCATGCACACACTCCCGATATCCCACATCTGTACTCACCACCTGCCCACTCTGTCCCCATCCTAACACACGGTGTGCATCCCAGGCCCTCTCCCGTGGAGAGAGTGTGGGCCCAAAAGGATCCTGAGAGTGACCAGGGCCCGATGACTCTGCCCCCGATATCCCACAACTGTCCTTCCACCTGCCCACTCTGTCCCCATCCTGACACACCGTGTGCATCCCAGGCCCTCTCCCAGGAACACAGCCGCACCTGTCACATTCAGAGACAGCTTATTCCAGATGTAGTTGTATTTGACGTCGCTTCCCTTCTCCACTCGGAAGAAGTACGTCCCTGTGTCCTCCCTCCTGGCGTCTGTGATGCTCAGGGAACAGTTGTTGGTGCTGAGGTCCCTGGGGACGTGGAACCGGCCCTTCGTCTCAGGCCTTACTGGCCAATCTGGCTTGTTGGTGGCCACAGGAGCTTGAGTGTAGACATTGTCCCCGTCTCGGAACCAGAAGACAAAAGGCTCGCCAGGGCTTGTCAAATAAGTCCTGATCTCAGGGTAGGAGAAGGAGCAGGGCACGAGGACACACAGACCCTCCTGCACTGTCACCGACTCCTGCACCTGCAGCTCATAGCCTGGTTTCTGCTGCAGGGACCCTGGACAGGGGCCGGGAAGAGGGGACACAGAGACTCAGTCACAGCGCTGCCCCACCACAGCCTCCCTGTCCCCCATTGCCCAGTGAGCCCCTTACCCTCCCGCAGCAGGGACAGTAGCAGCAGCAGCAGCGGCAGCATTGAGTCGGGGTTCTGGTCTCACTCTAGGCAAAGAAATGTCTCAAACGTGAGGTGTGGCCAAGTGAGAGCAACAGGAAGCTGCTGGGTGAGTGTGGGCCTGGGCCATGCCAAAGGGGAACTTGGGTGCTGCATGGGCCTGGGCGGCTTGTTGGGGGCAGGGAGATGGTATTCCTGCTGTCCCCAGCAGACATGGCAGAGACAGAGTGTGGGTGGTGCAAGTGTGGATGGAGGGTCTAGAGGCCTGGAGCTTCTCCTCGGGTAGAGCTGCTGAGTCACGTTCAGATACACATGCAGCAGCCAGGGCGTGTGCAGACAGAATGGGACAGAGAAACGGGGAGCAGGCTAGCGACGTGCAGGGGAGGGGCAGCTGCAAGCACCTTCCAATATACCCCTCTGAACCCTGGAACTTGGAGCTGCCTTAGAAATGCAGGCTAGAGGGAGCTGGATGAGGGGAGTGTGGGCCCTGCAAGAGGATCTACCTGCCTCGGTCTGGGGATTCATGAAGGTCCGCTGGGACAGCCATGTGCTCAGTCCACTTGAGCTGGGCTGTTTCAAGGGAGGAAGTGACCCCTCCCACTGGGGTTTCCCTGAAGGCTGCAGAAGCCACATGGTCCCTGCAGAGCTCAGCCTCGGTGGAACCAACATGCCAGGAATCCCCAGCAATCGGTGCAAAAACCTGGGCTCTGCACCACTCCACCTCTGATTTAACCAGGAACGTGCCAACAGTCAGAGCTTCTTGACAACAGGTTCTAGAAGCAGGACCTTCAGAAACTCAGGACAAAGTGCAATCCTGGTCTACAGTGCTCACAGACGCTGGCTTGGCTGTGTCCTCTGTCTACAGAAATCAGCTACAATTACTCTCGTGGGAAAGGCTCATGCGAGAATACCAACCCAGCATCTGGAGGAGGGCATGCGGGTGGAGTGGGCAGGCAGGCTGTACCCAGTCTAAAGGCAGCGTGTCATTGTCCCGTGTCAACTCTGCCGGATCACTTAGCAGTGTGGTGATCCTGTGACTTGCTGCCATGTGCCTTTGCTTCCAAAGAAAAGGGCCCATGTGCAAAGATGAGTGTGCCCTCGGCCAGACTGTAGGCAGAACTCTCTCCTGAGCTCTGTCTGTCCTGCTCCACCCAGGGCTGTTCAGCAGGAGTCTGACGTTGGTAGAGTGAACACTCCGGGTCTACCTGCTGTGTGCTGAAGAGCTTTCCCACATACACTGCGCCACAGTCTTTGGCTGTCAGTCTCTCCACTCTTTGCCGTGTTCAGAGTAGAGTCCTCTTCTCCCTGCCTCTATAGCCCATGCATGCACACTGTGTTGGGAGGCAGAGAAGAGAGCTAGAGGCAGCCAGCAACCGCCAGACGTGGGCAGACGGAAGAGGAGATGTCTCCATCACCTCCTCCAGGGAAGCCACACCCCAGGGGCAGCTGCCAGCTGGGCTCCTGTCGCCAAGGGCACAAGGCTCCTTTGAGCGACAGGGAACACTCCAGAGTGACCAACAGCCAGGGCCAAGAGGAGACCCTCTTCACTGGCAACATAGTTACCGAGTTCATTTTAGAGACAGGAGTGTGTGTGTTTGCTCAAACATGTCACATGATTGCTTCAACGTTGCATCTCTTGTTGTATGTGTGCTGCATCTGTGGGTGCACAGCAGCAGGAAGCTGCAAGCTCCAGTGCAGCCTGCCTTGAACCCAGGAAGGGATGGGCGCATGTCAAACGCAGGATCAGGCAAACACACAGCCTCCTTCCTGGAATGAGAGTCACGGGACATGCAGTGAGCAGCGGGGATGTCGGCTGGAGAGCTGCTCTGGGTACGGATGACGTGGTGACGTACTGCTGATTCCTCTGTCACCTGAGACGGGGACGACTCAACCACCCACCCAACATCCTGGGGTCTACTCTCCTAGCACACCCAACACCCCGGAGTCTGGGTGGCTTACACCTGTGCTCAGGCAGGCACCCCACCAGCAGCTGGCTCCATGGCACAGCTGAGCACCCTGAGAAAAGACAGAAGTTCCGAGTTGGAAAGCTGCACCCACAGGCTGTGGCTTTCACGCCATGCTGCAGCAGAAACATCCAGGACTAAACTAGTGTAAGTCAGGATCCTCGTGTCAGCAGGATGAGGTGAAGAGGAAAGTGAGATGGAGCTGGGTCCTAAAGTGACATGAACCGTGAGGTTCCCCTCGGGGAGGAGTCAGTGCCAAGAGTCCTTTGCTCAGTGCACTGAGTGAAGGCAGGTGGAGTTGGTTTCTGGGCCGTGACACCGTGGGAAGGAGGTGACAGAGCCAGAGAGAGGCTTGGTGCGATGGGACAGGACGGGAGTTTGTACCAGATGGCGTTGACCAGTCATGCTAACTGACATCCAATTCCACTGTGCCCAAACTTCCAGCCAGGACAGCTGTACAAAACATACTTGCTTTCCAAAATATTTCTTTATATTTATTTGAAATGCAAAATTGTTATAGAGATGCAGAGAGAGAGAGATGGATCAGTCAATCTTCCCTCCCCTGGCTCACTCCTCAAATTGTTGCAACAGTCAGCATTGGGCCCATCCCATACCAGGAGCCAGGAGGCAGGAGCATCTTCTGGGTCTCCCACATGGTTGCAGGGTTCCAAGTACTTGGATCATTCTCCACTGCTTTCCCAGACCACAAGCAGGGAGGGAGCTGGATCTAATGGGGAACATCCAGGACTCAACCAATGCTTTCTAGGAGGTGGTAACGCAGGTGCAGCTGAGCCTGCTCCATCACAGGCAGGGAGCATCAGCATCCCCTCCTCGCTAAAGTCCTCGGAAGTCCATGCAAACCAAGTCCTCACTCTGTCCCACTGTGATGCCTTCGCAGCTCTGGGTCCTCTGCCATTGTCAGGCACGCAGGAGTCAGAATGTGAACAAAATGCACGAACAAGGCCAACAGGGTCACACAGGGAAAGAGAAAATCTATGGCTAAAAACTTGGGAGATATCGGCCTGGTCAGGGAATGCTGGGCAAAGCTGAAACTAGAGAGGAGAGCCCGGCAATGATGGGTATCCTGTGTGAGCCATGGAGGCAGGAAGGACGTGGACACAGCCTGGGAGGGGTCCAGGCTCCAGCTGTGAGGACCAGGCTGTGCATCCATCAAGGGCCCAGGGTGTGGGAGAATCCATCACTGTGGCTCTGTCAGCCTGCCACCCTCCCCAAGCCGGGTCACCATGGACACATTCTCTACTGAACATCCACGGGGTCATGCAGACACCACAGCCTGCGTGCAAACATGCCCAGATGTCCTTGAGGTCTACAAGGATCCGCAGGGGCCTTCAAGAGTAACATCTGTTCCCGGGCGGTCCTGTGTCTTCCATGTGGAGATGCCCTTGGTCGTGTTTCACAGTCGCAGCTCCAGGTGGAGGGAGCAGCCAGGCTTGCAATGCGCAGTGCATCCGGGTCTCGGGGATGGGTCATTTCTGGCCTCCCCTGTCCTTCCATGGTCAACAAGGCAAGCTCTCAGGTGTGGGGGACCTGAAGCATGCAGCCCAGCCACATGTTGGAGCAGGTGGTGGGGAGGGATGAGAAGGGCAGCAGGTGAAGCTGGGATGGGGCAGGACGTGCTGGGCTTGGTAGATTAAGGACAGGAAAGGAGGCAGGCAGGAAAGAGTCGCAGAGAGCTGCCTCCAGGGAGAGGCTAGCGTGACATGGCCGCGGCTGTGGCTCTGGGTGCCCCGTGCTCATCTCGGTGTCGAGGCGTGAAGCTGGGGGCCTCCGCACCTACAGGGCCAGCACAAGCCTCAGGTCAGAGTGGATTCAGGGGCTCCCAGGCCAGGCAGTGCCGGGCAGCTGAGCCCCTGGAGCTTACCTGGTGTAGTAGAGCCATGTGAGGCCATAGGTGAGAAGGAAGCCGGCTGCCATGAGGGACCCTCTGATCAGGGTAAGCACCAAGGGCCAGGAGGGCGGGGAGCCTTCTGGCATGGGTGGGCACAGGCTGAGATTCCAGTCCAGGCCTCAGCCTCCCCCATCCTCTCTCCCCTGCAGCATACACTGTTCACTCTCACTCAGGGAGTTTGGGGTGTGGGAAGGTCACTCAGGTTCCTGACCTGGTGGTGGTGGCAGCAGCAAGACCTGCACGCTATGGCTCTCGTGGACATTCCAGACCTCGCAGCTGAGCCTGAGGCCAGGGCCGAGCTCCCCGCGGAGGCTCAGGGAGCTGTTGGCCCAGCGCCCTGCAGAGCTGGAGGTGACCATGAAGGAGGCAACACTGCTGTTCCCGCTGCTGTTCCCCTCCAGGAGCTGCCCCTGGAGCCGCCAGCGCAGGAACGGGGCCAGCTGGGCCTGGGAGGAGCAGTTGCAGTGCAGACCCCAGGCCTCCCAGGAGCAGAAGGGACCCAGCAGATGTGGAGAAGCTGGGGGGAGAGCAGGTAAGACTCAGAAGGACACCTCTCTCCTGCTCATTATTGCAGGGAAATGACCCTCTGCCCCTCCAGTCCCAGGCCCAAACTCACCCTGAACAGAGAGGTTCACGGAAAGGTGCTGGGAGCCCAGCGAGTTCTGGGCTATGCAGGTGACCTGCCCTCCGTACTCTGGCTGCACCTGCGGCAGCTCCAGGATGTCGGTGAAGGAGACAGGGGTGGGCTGCAGGTCTGGGGGTCCCCGCACCCAGCTCAGGTTGGCAGGAGGGTTGCTGAGTGCTGAGCAGCGCAGGCGCAGAGGCCAGCCCACCGGAATGGTGAGGGATGAGCCGGTAAGCAGCATGCTGGGGGCTTGTGGGGAGAGACCTACTGAGGGTGGAGTTCCCCACAGGGCTGGTCTGGCACCCCTGTCCCTCCCTTGGCCAGCACTCCTACTTCACTCCAAGCCCTCCTGCCTTGCACCCCAGGAACTTTGTCCCAAGGGTCTGGGCTCCCCTCTCTTGGCGGGGAGCTGGTGGGGATCGAGGCTGGCCGGGGTTGCGTCAGTATCTGTCCAATGCGTGCACAGCCCGGAGCCCTGATGATCTTGTAAGCAAGTTCATGAGGAATGATGCTAGGAAAGCAACCCACACGGACTCCAATTTTTCTTGTTTGTTTGTTTTGTTTTTGCGCCAAAACACACTTAGTTGTATCGCACTTGGCCATGGGTTTGGAAGTGCCTTGCTGGATTCTGTCAGAGCAGAGGGGAGCCAATTCCTGGCCTCCTCCAACGCGTGGGCTGCTCTCCCCTGGGGCTGAGAGCCTTCCCTTGAGCATTGCCAGAACGTGAGTCCTGATCCGCAGGAGAAGTGCAGCCAGAGGCAAGGTGTGCCAGCCTGAAGTGGAGGCGACCTGGCAGCTGTGATGGGAACTGGACAGGGAGGGTGAGGCTGGGCAGCATTCAATGTCTGCTCATGGCTTTAGGCACAGGATGCGTGTGCTGTGAGCACACATGTGTGTAAGAATGTGCAAGTCTGTGTGCATAGGCACGCACGGCACAAGTGTGTACGCATGTGTGTGCACCAGTCTGAATGCCTTGTGCTGTGAGCATACACCAGTGCTTGTGGAAGAAACACACACACACGCACACACACAGAGCTGTGGCGACAGAGTGTGGCTGCAGGCTCCACATCCCAGTCCCTGGAGCAGAGGTTTCCCTACCTGTGCTGTTTTGGAAGAAGACGCTGACGCTGAGGTTCTGAGGAGGATCTGGAAGGGAAGAAGGGGCCCTGGCCTCAGGGGTGAGCAACAGGAGATGCGTGGATACACGGATAACCACGAAGCAGCCGTGTCCTTCTGACCCGCCCCACGCCCGCACACCCACGCTCAGATCCACGCAGACACTCCCTAGGTGACTGTAACAGGCACATGTACAAGATGAGCACACGGGCACACACCTGCACACACGTGTACAATCCCATGCAGGCACACCGCCCCCACTGCCCCTGGGAGCACAGGCCTGCCCCCGCCCAGCACTCACAGGAGACATTGAGCTGCACGGTTCTCTCTGTGGTCACCAGACTGCCCAGGTACTGCACCCGACAGGTGAGGTTGGTGCCGTGGTCCTGGGGCCTTGGTGTCAGGAACAACGAGGGTTCAAGCCTCCAGGGAGTCTGAGAGTCAGGGGCACTGCCCTTCCAGGAGAAGTGGAGAGATCTCCCCTGTGGGCAGTGTCCTGGCAGGCTGCAGTGCAGCTGTGTGGTGTGGCCAGACTGCAGGGTTGCCGGGAGCTGGATGTGGGGCTTCTCTGTGAGGGCTGAGGACAGAGGCAGGAGGCTCGCGTCCAAGGTGTGGGGGACCCAGGGTCCATGGAGACCCTTAGAGTGACCAGGGCCCCATGCCCCATGCAGACCCCCGATATACTACCTCCCTACTCACCACCTGCCCACTCTGTCCCCATCCAGACACACGGTGTCTGTCCCAGACCCTCTCCCCCCAGGAACCCATCCATACCTGTCACATTCAGAGACAGCTTATTCCAGATGTATTTGTATTTGACATTGCTTCCCTTCTCCACTCGGAAGAAGTACATCCCTGTGTCCTCCCTCCTGGCATCTGTGATGCTCAGGGAACAGTTGTTGGTGCTGAGGTCCCTGGGGACGTGGAACCGGCCCTTCGTCTCAGGCCTCACTGTACGATAGGGATTGTTGGTGGCCACAGGATAATCATAGTCACTATTGTCCCCATCTCGGAACCAGAAGATAAATGTCTGGTCAGATCTTGTCCCGTAAGTCCTGGTCTCAGGGTAGGAGAAGGAGCAGGGCACGAGGACACACAGACCCTCCTGCACTGTCACCGACTCCTGCACCTGCAGCTCATAGCCTGGTTTCTGCTGCAGGGACCCTGGACAGGGGCCGGGAAGAGGGGACACGGAGACTCAGTCACAGCGCTGCCCCACCACAGCCTCCCTGTCCCCCATTGCCCAGTGAGCCCCTTACCCTCCCGCAGCAGGGACAGTAGCAGCAGCAGCGGCAGCATTGAGTCGGGGCTCTGGTCTCACTCTAGGCAAAGAAATGTCTCAAATGTGAGGTGTGGCCAAGTGAGAGCAACAGGAAGCTGCTGGGTGAGTGTGGGCCTGGGCCATGCCAAAGGGGAACTTGGGTGCTGCATGGGCCTGGGCGGCTTGTTGGGGGCAGGGAGATGGTATTCCTGCTGTCCCCAGCAGACATGGCAGAGACAGAGTGTGGGTGGTGCAAGTGTGGATGGAGGGTCAAGAGGCCTGGAGCTTCTCCTCGGGTAGAGCTGCTGAGTCACGTTCAGATACACATGCAGCAGCCAGGGCGTGTGCAGACAGAATGGGACAGAGAAACGGGGAGCAGCGACGTGCAGGGGAGGGGCAGCTGCAAGCACCGTCCAATATACCCCTCTGAATCCCGGACTTGGAGCTGCCTTAGAAATGCAGGCTAGAGGGAGCTGGATGAGGGGATGTGGGCCCTGCAGGAGGATCTACCTGCCTCGGTCTTGGGGTTTCATGTAGGTCCGCTGGGACAGCCATGTGCTCTGTCCACTTGGGCTGGGCTGTTTCAAGGGAGGAAGTGACCCCTCCCACTGGGGTTTCCCTGAAGGCTGCAGAAGCCACATGGTCCCTGCGGAGCTCAGCATCGGTGGAACCAACATGCCAGAACCCCAAGAATCATCAGGAAAATGTGGGCTCTGCAGCATCCCACCTCTGATTTAACCAGGAACATGCCAACATTCAGAGCTTCTTGACAACAGGTTCTAGAAGCAGGGCCTTTAGAAACTCAGGACAAAGTGCAATCCTGGTCTACAGTGCTCACAGACGCTGGCTTGGCTGTGTCCTCTGTCTACAGAAATCAGCTACAATTACTCTCGTGGGAGAGGCTCATGCGAGAATACCAACCCAGCATCTGGAGGAGGGCATGCGGGTGGAGTGGGCAGGCAGGCTGTACCCAGTCTAAAGGCAGCGTGTCATTGTCCCATGTCATCTTCTTGGGGCTCACTTAGCAGTGTGGTGATCCTGCGACTTGCTGCCATGTGCCTTTGCTTCCAAAGAAAAGGGCCCATGTGCAAAGATGAGTGTACCCTCGGCCAGACTGTAGGCAGAACTCTCTCCTGAGCTCTGTCTGTCCTGCTCCACCCAGGGCGGTTGCAGCAGGAGTCTGAAGTTGATAGAGTGAACACTCCGGGTCTACCTGCTGTGTGCTGAAGAGCTTTCCCACATACACTGCGCCACAGTCTTTGGCTGTCAGTCTCTCGACTCTTTGCCATGTTCAGAGTAGAGTCCTCTTCTCCCTGCCTCTATTGCCCATGCAAGCACACTGGGTAGGGAGGCAGAGAAGAGAGCTAGAGGCAGCCAGCAACCACCAGACGTGGGCAGACGGAAGAGGAGATGTCTCCATCACCTCCTCCAGGGAAGCCACACCCCAGGGGCAGCTGCCAGCTGGGCTCCTGCTCCCCAAGGGCACAAGGCTCCTTTGAGCAACAGGGAACACTCCAGAGTGACCAACAGCCAGGGCCAAGAGGAGACCCTCTTCACTGGCAACATAGTTACGGAGTTGATTTTAGAGACAGGAGTGTGTGTGTTTGCTCAAACATGTAGCATGATTGCTTCAACGTTGCATCTCTTGTTGCATGTGTGCTGCATCTGTGGGTGCACAGCAGCAGGAAGCTGCAAGCTCCAGTGCAGCCCTGCCTTGAACCCAGTAAGGGATGGGCGCATGTCAAACGCAGGATCAGGCAAACACACAGCCTCCTTCCTGGAATGAGAGTCACAGGACATGCAGTGAGCAGCGGGGATGTCGGCTGGAGAGCTGCTCTGGGTACGGATGACGTGGTGACGTGCTGCTGATTCCTCTGTCACCTGAGACGGGGACGACTCAACCACCCACCCTACATCCTGGGGTCTACTCTCCTAGCACACCCAACACCCCGGAGTCTGGGTGGTTTACGCCTGTGCTCAGGCAGGCACCCCACCAGCAGCTGGCTCCACGGCACAGCTCAGCACCCTGAGAAAAGACAGAAGTTCCGAGTTGGAAAGCTGCACCCACAGGCTGTGGCTTTCATGCCATGCTGCAGCAGAAACATCCAGAACTAAACTAGTGTAAGTCAGGATCCTCGTGTCAGCAGGATGAGGTGAAGAGGAAAGTGAGATGGAGCTGGGTCCTAAAGTGACATGAACCGTGAGGTTCCCCTCGGGCAGGAGTCAGTGCCAAGAGTCCTTTGCTCAGTGCACTGAGTGAAGGCAGGTGGAGTTGGTTTCTGGGCCGTGACACCGTGGGAAGGAGGTGACAGAGCCAGAGAGAGGCTTGGTGCGATGGGACAGGACAGGAGTTTGTACCAGATGGTGTTGACCAGTCATGCTAACTGACATCCAATTCCACTGTGCCCAAACTTCCAGCCAGGACAGCTGCAGAAAACATACTTGCCTTACAAAATATATCTTTATATTTATTTTAAATGCAGAATTGTTATAGAGATGCAGAGAGAGAGAGAGAGAGAGAGAGAGAGATGGATCTTCTTCCACCTGCTAACTCCTCAAATTGTTGCAACAGTCAGCACTGGGCCCATCCCATACCAGGAGCCAGGAGGCAGGAGCATCTTCTGGGTCTCCCACATGGGTGCAGGGTTCCAAGTACTTGGACCATTCTCCACTGCTTTCCCAGACCACAAGCAGGGAGGGAGCTGGATCTAATGGGGAACATCCAGGACTCAACCAATGCTTTCTAGGAGGTGGTAACGCAGGTGCAGCTGGGCCTGCTCCATCACAGGCAGGGAACCTCAGCATACCCTCCTCGCTAAAGTCCTCGGAAGTCCATGAAAACCAAGTCCTCACTCTGTCCCACTGTGATGCCTTCGCAGCTCTGGGTCCTCTGCCATTGTCAGGCACGCAGGAGTCAGAATGTGAACAAAATGCACGAACGAGGCCAACAGGGTCACACAAGAAAAATGAAAATCTATGGCTAAGGACTTGGGATATATCGGCCTGGTCAGGGAATGCTGGGCAAAGCTGAAACTAGAGAGGAGAGCCCGGCAGTGATGGGTATCCTGTGTGAGCCATGGAGGCAGGAAGGACGTGGACACAGCCAGGGAGGGGTCCAGGCACCAGCTGTGAGGACCAGGCTGTGCATCCATCAAGGGTCCAGGGTGTGGGAGAATCCATCACTGTGGCTCTGTCAGCCTGCCACCCTCCCCAAGCCGGGTCACCATGGACACATTCTCTACTGAACATCCATGGGGTCATGCGGACACCACAGCCTGCGTGCAAACATGCCCAGATGTCCTTGAGGTCTACAAGGATCCGCAGGGGCCTTCAAGAGTAACATCTGTTCCCGGGCGGTCCTGTGTCTTCCATGTGGAGATGCCCTTGGTCGTGTTTTATAGTCGCAGCTCCAGGTGGAGGGAGCAGCCAGGCTCGCAATGAGCAGTGCATCCGGGTCTCGGGGATGGGTCATTTCTGGCCTCCCCCGTCCTTCCATGGTCAACAAGCAAGCTCTCAGGTGTGGGGGACCTGAAGCATGCAGCCCAGTCACATGTTGGAGCAGGTGGTGGGGAGGGATGAGAAGGGCAGCAGGTGAAGCTGGGATGGGGCAGGACGTGCCGGGCTTGGTGGATTAAGGACAGGGAAGGAGGCAGGAAAGAGAAGCAGAGAACTGCCTCCAGGGAGAGGCTAGCGTGACATGGCCATGGCTGTGGCTCTGGGTGCCCGGTGCTCATCTCGGTGTCGAGGCGTGAAGCTGGGGGCCTCCGCACCTACAGGGCCAGCACAAGCCTCAGGTCAGAGTGGATTCAGGGGCTCCCAGGCCAGGCAGTGCCAGGCAGCTGAGCCCCTGGAGCTTACCTGGTGTAGTAGAGCCACGTGAGGCCATAGGTGAGAAGGAAGCCGGCTGCCATGAGGGACCCTCTGATCAGGGTGAGCACCAGGGGCCAGGAGCTCTCCTGTCTCTCACATACGCACGTGCAGCCAGAGGAAGTTCCTGGCACAGGTGGGCACTGGTTGTAGTTCCAGCCTCAGGCCTCAGCCTCCCCCATCCCCACTCCTCTGCATCACACACCTGCCCCGACACTCACTCTGCACAGAGAGGCTCAAGGAGAAATGCCTGGAGCCCAGCAGGTGCCGAGCCCAGCAGGTGAGTTCTCCTTGGTCTTTGGCCTGCACCTCGGGCAGCTCCAGGACTCCGGATGCTGAGGCACGGGAGGAAGGCAGGGCTTCGTGTCCCCTGAACCAGCCCATCGAGGCAGCGGGGTTGCCATCAGCCATGCACACCAGGCGCAGGGACAGACCCTCAGAGACAGGCAGGGACGTGCCATTGCTCAGTACCCATGGGACTGTGTGAGGGAAGGTGAGAGAGTGGGCTGTGGAAATGACCCATGTGTCTGCACTTGGGCCCTGACACTCAGCCAGCCACTCATTGAAGGGGAAGCCCATGCGACTGCCTGTGGGATGGTGACAGGAGAGAGTAGGTCTCCTTGACATGGGGAAGGGGAGCTGAGCCAAGGCTAGGACGACAGGGTGTCCTCACGGTAGTGGGGGGGGGGTCCTGCAGCTGGGGATGTGCTGGGAGCCGAGACCACCAAGCCAGAGGCAACAGCACAGCTGTAGCTGAGCTGGGAGGGGAGGACCAGGGACTCTTGTGATGCAACAATAGGGACCAGGGGACAAGCACACTGTCAGGGCCTCACGTGCCAGGCTGGGAGTCCTGGGGAGCACTCAGTGTGAGGAGTCAGAGGGCACAGGCTTGGCACTGATTGGCACCTGAGCCTGAGCAGGTGAGGTGGGAGGCAGGACATAGCAGAGGAGGTTCCAGGGCAGACAATGGGGCCCCCACCCCATTGATGATGGAGAGGGAGAGGGGGAAGCGAGGAGCAGCTGAGTCCTCGGGACCCGCTGAGTCCTGGATGTGCCTGTGTGAATGGGAGCCCTTTGGAGCAGTGAGGTCCTGGGCACCCTGGGCTCATGGGGTGCAGGGGGGTGACTGAGGGGCTGGCAATGGTCGCAGCAGCCATGCAGCCAGGACTATCAGGAAGGGACAGCAAAGCCCAGGAGGGAAGAATAGGAAGATAGAACTGAGGGTTAGGATGGAGCAGTGGGCACTCAGAGGACTCCTAGGGGAGGCGATGACCTCAGCGTGGAAGGAAGGCAGGGCCGGCCAAGAGAGCGGGGCCTGGAGGAGTGATTACAGGTGGACATCAGCTGGGGAAGGCAGAGACAGGTGGACATCAGCTGGGGAAGGCGGAGACAGGGAGGGGCGGCAGCTGGTTGCTGGGGCCATGCTCCAGCTTTGCCTGAAGGAGAGAGCAGCTGCCCACAGCACCTGCTGACCTGCACGCTGCAAGATCAAGAGGATAAACTCACCCCACACTGAGAGATTCCTCACATAGAGAGAAGATAAGGGAATGTGTGAGCAGCGGGAGGGAGGAGACCCCGCTCCCCCAAGTGTGTCTGCCCACCAAGCACTGTGCAGAGCAGTCTTCGCGGCAGAGTCAGCCCCCATGGTGTCTGTGCAACGAGGGCTGTGCTCTCATCAGGCTCCACGTCCCAGTCCCTGGAGCAGAGGTTCCCCTACCTGTGCTGTTTTGGAAGAAGACGCTGACGCTGAGGTTCTGAGGAGGATCTGGAAGGGAAGAATGGCCCTGGCCTCAGGGGTGAGGAGCAGCACGCACGTGGGCACCTGATTATACCCGCGAAGCGGCCGTGTCCTTCTGACCCACCCCACGCCCGCACACCCACGCTCAGATCCACGCAGACACTCCCTAGGTGACTGTAACGCACATGTACAAGATGAGCACACGGGCACACACCTGCACACACGTGTACAATCCCGTGCAGGCACACCGCCCCCACTGCCCCTGGGAGCACAGGCCTGCCCCCGCCCAGCACTCACAGGAGACATTGAGCTGCACGGTTCTCTCTGTGGTCACCTGATTGTGTGGGTACTGCACCCGACAGGTAAGGTTGGTGCCATGGTCCTGGGGCCTTGGTGTGAGGAACAATGAGGGTTCAACACTCCAGGGAGTCCAAGAGTCAAGGGCACTGGGCTTCCAGGAGAAGTGGAGCGTTCTCCCCTGTGGGCAGTGTCCTGGCAGGCTGCAGTGCAGCTGTGTGGTGTGGCCAGACTGCAGGGGTGCTGGGAGCTGGATGTGGGGCTTCTCCTTGAGGGCTGAGGACAGAGGCAGGAGTCTCAGGTCCAGGCTGTGTGGGACCCAGGGTCCATGGAGACCCTGAGAGTGACCAGGGCCCCATGCCCCATGCCCACCCCAGATCCCACAACTGTCCTTACCACTTGCCCATTCTGTCCCCATTCTAACACACGGTGTCCATCCCAGGCCCTCTCTCAGGAACACAGCCGTACCTGTCACATTCAGAGACAGCTTATTCCTGATGTAGTTGTATTTGACGTCGCTTCCCTTCTCCACTCGGAAGAAGTACGTCCCTGTGTCCTCCCTCCTGGCGTCTGTGATGCTCAGGGAACAGTTGTTGGTGCTGAGGTCCCTGGGGACGTGGAACCGGCCCTTCGTCTCAGACTTCACTGGCCAATAGGGATTGTTGGTGGCCACCGCAGCATCATAGTCACTATAGTCCCCGTCTCGGAACCAGAAGATAAATGTCTGTCCAGGTCTTGTCCAGTAAGTCCTGGTCTCAGGGTAGGAGAAGGAGCAGGGCACGAGGACACACAGACCCTCCTGCACTGTCACCGACTCCTGCACCTGCAGCTCGTAGCCTGGTTTCTGCTGCAGGGACCCTGGACAGGGGCCGGGAAGAGGGGACACGGAGACTCAGTCACAGCGCTGCCCCACCACAGCCTCCCTGTCCCCCATTGCCCAGTGAGCCCCTTACCCTCCCGCAGCAGGGACAGTAGCAGCAGCAGCGGCAGCATTGAGTTGGGGTTCTGGTCTCAC